CTTTAACACACAGCTCGTTTACACATAGCTCGTTAACACACAGCTCGTTAACACAAAGCTCGTTAACATCAGCTCGTTAACAACAACTCGTTCACAAACAGCTCTTTAACAAACAGCTCGTGAACACACAACTTGTTAACACAAAGCTCATAAACACACAGCTCGTAAACACAAAGCTCGTTAACAAGAGCTCGTTAACAACCAGCTCGTTAACACACAGCTCGTTTACATACAACTTGTTAACAAACAGCTCGTTAACAAACAGCTCGTTAACACACAGCTCGTTAACAACAGCTCGTTAACAACAGCTCGTTCACAAACAGCTCTTTAACAAACAGCTCGTGAACACACAGCGCGTTAACACACAGCTTGTTAACACACAGCTCGTTAACACACAGCTCGATAACACACAGCTCGTTTACACATAGCTTGTTAACACACAGCTCGTTTACACATAGCTCGTTAACACACAGCTCGTTAACACAAAGCTCGTTAACAACAGCTCATTAACAAACAGCTCTTTAACACACAGCTCGTTTACACATAGCTTGTTAACACACAGCTCGTTAACACAAAGCTCGTTAACAACAGCTCATTAACAAACAGCTCTTTAACACACAGCTCGTTTACACATAGCTCGTTAACACAAAGCTCGTTAACATCAGCTCGTTAACAACAGCTCGTTCACAAACAGCTCTTTAACAAACAGCTCGTGAACACACAACTTGTTAACACAAAGCTCGTAAACACACAGCTCGTAAAACACAAAGCTCGTTAACAAGAGCTTGTTAACAAGAGCTCTTTAACAAACAGCTTGTTAACACAAAGCTCGTTAACACAAAGCTCGTTACCACAAAGCTCGTTACCACACAGCTCGTTAACACAAAGCTCGTTACCACACAGCTCGTTAACAACCAGCTCGTTAACACACAGCTCGATAACACACAGCTCGTTTACACATAGCTTGTTAACACACAGCTCGTTTACACATAGCTCGTTAACACACAGCTCGTTAACATCAGCTCGTTAACATCAGCTCGTTAACAACAGCTCGTTCACAAACAGCTCTTTAACAAACAGCTCGTGAACACACAACTTGTTAACACAAAGCTCGTAAACACACAGCTCGTAAACACAAAGCTCGTTAACAAGAGCTCGTTAACAAGAGCTCTTTAACAAACAGCTTGTTAACACAAAGCTCGTTACCACAAAGCTCGTTACCACAAAGCTCGTTACCACACAGCTCGTTAACACACCGCTCGTTACCACACAGCTCGTTAACAACCAGCTCGTTAACACACAGCTCGATAACACACAGCTCGTTTACACATAGCTTGTTAACACACAGCTCGTTTACACATAGCTCGTTAACACACAGCTCGTTAACACACAGCTCGATAACACACAGCTCGTTTACACATAGCTTGTTAACACACAGCTCGTTTACACATAGCTCGTTAACACACAGCTCGTTAACATCAGCTCGTTAACATCAGCTCGTTAACAACAGCTCGTTCACAAACAGCTCTTTAACAAACAGCTCGTGAACACACAACTTGTTAACACAAAGCTCGTAAACACACAGCTCGTAAACACAAAGCTCGTTAACAAGAGCTCGTTAACAAGAGCTCTTTAACAAACAGCTTGTTATCACAAAGCTCGTTACCACAAAGCTTGTTACCACACCGCTCGTTACCACACCGCTCGTTAACAACCAGCTCGTGAACACACAGCGCGTTAACACACAGCTCGTTAACACACAGCGCGTTAACACACAGCTCGTTAACACACAGCTCGTTAACACACAGGTCATTTACACATAGCTTGTTAACACACAGCTCGTTAACAAACAGCTCGTTAACACACAGCTCGTTAACACACAGCTTGTTAACAAACAGCTAGTTAACACACAGCTCGTTAACACACAGCTCGTTAACACAAAGCTCGTTAACAAGAGCTCGTTAACAAGAGCTCTTTAACAAACAGCTTGTTAACACAAAGCTCGTTACCACAAAGCTCGTTACCACACAGCTCGTTAACACAAAGCTCGTTACCACACAGCTCGTTAACAACCAGCTCGATAACAACCAGCTCGTTAACACACAGCTCGTTTACATACAACTCGTTAACAAACAGCTCGTTAACAAACAGCTCGTTAACAACCAGCTCGATAACAACCAGCTCGTTAACACACAGCTCGTTTACATACAACTCGTTAACAAACAGCTCGTTAACAAACAGCTCGTTAACAAACAGCTCGTTAACAAACAGCTCGTTAACACACAGCTCGTTAACACAAAGCTCGTTAACAACAGCTCATTCACAAACAGCTCTTTAACAAACAGCTCGTGAACACACAACTTGTTAACACAAAGCTCATAAACACACAGCTCGTAAACACAAAGCTTGTTAACAAGAGCTCGTTAACAACAGCTCTTTAACAAACAGCTTGTTAACACAAAGCTCGTTAACACAAAGCTCGTTACCACAAAGCTCGTTACCACACAGCTCGTTAACAACCAGCTCGTTAACACACAGCTCGTTTACATACAACTTGTTAACAAACAGCTCGTTTACAAACAGCTCGTTAACACACAGCTCGTTTACATACAACTTGTTAACACACAGCTCGTTAACACAAAGCTCGTTCACAACCATCTTGTTAACAACCATCTTGTTAACAAACAGCTCGTTAACAAACAGCTTGTTACACACAGCTCGTTAACAACCAGCTCGTTAACACAAAGCTTGTTAACACTCGTTATCCCCATAACTACCCCCAAAGCTAAAAACATGTCTGTCTCTCTGTCTGTCTGTAGATGCTCAGGTATTTCGGGGCCTTCCAGGTGTTCTTCCAGGAGAGTCTTCCTCGTCTCTTCCTCCACTTCCAGTCTTCTGGTCTGACCCCTGACCTCTACCTCATGGACTGGTGAGTGACACCTGAACACAAACAGCCTAGCTTAGCACAAACACTGGAAGCAGATGAAAAGAAAATAAGCCCCTCCCCTCCTCCAGGATCCTGTCTCTCTACACGAAGCCCCTCCCCCTGGACGTGGCGAGCAGAGTTTGGGACGTTTTCTTTCGGGACGGAGAAGAGTTCCTGTTCAGGACGGCTCTGGGGATCCTGAGACTCTACCAGGAGGTCCTGCTGCACATGGACCTCATCAGCATCGGTGAGCGACCTCCTGACCCTCCTCCTGACCCTCCTCCTGACCCTCCTGAGCAACCTCCTGAACCTCCTCCTGGCCCTCCTGAGCAACCTCCTGAACCTCCTCCTTACCCTCCTCCTGACCCTCCTGACCCTCCTGACCCCTTCTCCTGACCCTCCTCCTGACCCTCTTCATGACCCTCCTCCTGACCCTCCTCATGAACCTCCTGAGCAACCTCCTGACCCTCCTCCTGAACCTCCTGACCCTCTTCCTGACCCTCCTGAACGACCTCCTGACCCTCCTCCTGAACCTCCTGAACAACCTCCTGACCCTCCTCCTGACCCTCCTCCTGAACCTCCTGAACAACCTCCTGACCCTCCTCCTGAACCTCCTGACTCTCTTCCTGACCCTCCTCCTGACCCTCCTGAGCAACCTCATGAACCTCCTCCTGACCCTCTTCCTGACCCTCCTGAGCAACCTCCTGAACCTCCTCCTGACCCTCCTCCTGACCCTCCTGAGCAACCTCCTGAACCTCCTCCTGACCCTCTTCCTGACCCTCCTCCTGACCCTCCTCATGAACCTCCTGAGCAACCTCCTGAACCTCCTCCTGAACCTCCTGAACCTCCTCCTGAACGACCTCCTGAACCTCTTCCTGACCCTCCTGAACCTCCTCCTGACCCTCCTGAGCAACCTCATGAACCTCCTCCTGACCCTCCTCCTGACCCTCTTCCTGACCCTCCTGAGCAACCTCCTGAACCTCCTCCTGACCTCCTCCTGAACCTCCTCCTGACCCTCCTCCTGACCCTCCTCATGAACCTCCTGAGCAACCTCCTGAACCTCCTCATGAACCTCCTGAACCTCCTCCTGAACAACCTCCTTACCCTCCTCCTGACCCTCCTCCTGAACCTCCTGAACAACCTCCTGACCCTCCTCCTGAACCTCCTGACTCTCTTCCTGACCCTCCTCCTGACCCTCCTGAGCAACCTCATGAACCTCCTCCTGACCCTCTTCCTGACCCTCCTGAGCAACCTCCTGAACCTCCTCCTGACCCTCCTCCTGACCCTCCTGAGCAACCTCCTGAACCTCCTCCTGACCCTCCTCCTGAACCTCCTCCTGACCCTCCTCCTGACCATCCTCCTGAACCTCCTGAACAGCCTCCTGACCCTCCTCCTGAACCCCCTCCTGACCCTCCTCAGCAACCTCCTGAACCTCCTCCTGACCCTCCTGAGCAACCTCCTGAACCTCCTCCTGACCCTCCTCCTGACCCTCCTGAGCAACCTCCTGAACCTCCTCCTGACCCTCCTCCTGACCATCCTCCTGAACCTCCTGAACAGCCTCCTGACCCTCCTCCTGAACCCCCTCCTGACCCTCCTCAGCAACCTCCTGAACCTCCTCCTGACCCTCCTCCTGAACCTCCTCCTCACCCCTCCTCCTGAACCCCCCTCCTGTCCCTCCTCCTGAACCTCCTGAACAGCCTCCTGACCCTCCTCCTGAACCTCCTCCTGACCCTCCTCCTGAACCTCCTCCTGACCCTCCTCCTGACCCTCCTCCTGAACCATCTGACCCTCCTCCTGAACCTCCTCCTGAACCTCCTCCTGTCTCCAGTTGACCTGATCCTGTTGTGTCCTCCTCCAGCTCAGTTCCTGTCCCGCCTCCCTAATGAAGAGCTGCTCTCTGATAGGCTGTTCTCCTGCATCTCGGCCACGCCCCTACTGAGTGGGAACAGGAAGTGGAGTCAGGTGAGACAGACAGACACACACACACACAGACAGACAGAGAGACAGTCAGACAGACAGACAGACAGTCAGACAGTCACACAGACAGACAGACAGTCAGACAGACAGACAGTCAGACAGTCAGATAGACACACAGACAGACAGACACAGACAGACAGACAGAGAGTTAGTCACACAGACAGTCAGATAGACACACAGACAGTCACACACAGACAGACAGACAGAGAGTTAGTCACACAGACAGTCAGATAGACAGACACACAGACAGTCACACAGACAGTCACACAGACAGACAGACACACAGACAGACACACAGACAGTCACACAGACAGACAGACACACAGACAGACACACAGACAGACAGTCAGACAGACACACAGACAGTCACACAGACAGACAGACACACAGACAGTCACACAGACAGACACACAGACAGACACACAGACAGTCACACAGACAGTCAGATAGACAGACACACAGACAGTCACACACAGACAGACAGAGAGACAGCCACACAGACAGAGAGACACACAGACACACAGACAGTCACACACAGACAGACAGAGAGACAGCCACACAGACAGAGAGACACACAGACACACAGTCAGACAGACACACAGACAGAGAGACACACAGACACACAGACAGACAGACAGACAGAGAGACACACAGTCAGACAGACACACAGTCAGATAGACAGACACACAGACACACAGTCAGACAGACACACAGTCACACAGACACACAGACACACAGACAGAGAGACACACAGACACACAGACACACAGACAGTCACACAGACAGAGAGACAGACAGTCAGATAGACAGACACACAGACAGACAGACACACAGACAGTCACACAGACAGACAGACACACAGACAGAGAGACAGACAGTCAGATAGACAGACACACAGACAGACAGAGAGACAGACACACAGTCAGACAGACACACAGTCAGATAGACAGACACACAGACACACAGTCAGACACACACACAGTCACACAGACAGACAGAGAGACAGACACACAGTCAGACAGACACACAGACAGTCACACAGACAGATAGACACACAGACAGAGAGACAGACAGTAGAACAGTAACATGTGTCTGTGTCTCAGGTCCTGTCGTCCTACAGAGAGTCTGAGAGGAGCAGCTGCTGATCTACAGTCTGTTTTTATTCCAGTTAAACATTAATAATAAAACATTAAATAACTTTAACAATATGAAATCATCGTGTTTTTAATTGTTGTGATTTTAGTTGTGAGTGAAAGTATTTATTAACCTTTATTAATATAACTTTATATCATTTTATCTGATTAAAAACTGTGAATTCATACAAAGATTCTGAATGTACAGTTTGTAATAATAATGTGTAATGATGTGTAATAATGTATTTACTGTGTGTCTGTATCTTCCTTTATGTCCTCTTCTACTGTATTTATTAAATTATTAGTCAATAACAATAAAGTGTTGGTTGTCTGTAATTCCGCCCCCCGCCGCTGGGGGTCGCTGTGGTCTCATCAGAGGAGGAGTTCAGTTTCCGGGTTATCGATCTGATTCCGGTTCTCTGATCAACACGCGTGTTTCTCCACCAAAACACACCGACACACTCTCTCTCTCACACCGAGGAGGGTCGATTAAAGTCCGGCCTGAAGCTGCGCACGGAAACGAACACTTTCTGCCGCCATGGGTCCGGTAAGTTCATCAGCGTTAAATCAGCGGTTTTCAGAGTGGAGTCTGGTTTGTCCGAGCTCCATGTTCTCACCGGTCACACTGCCTCTCAGCTCCAGCACCAACTGCTCTGTCCTTACTGTCCTCAACCAGACTCCAGAGAAACATCAGAGACTCTTTCATGTTTCCTTTTTACTTTAAAGATTCTCTGATAAGTTCACACAGTGCTCTCAAAGGAAAACCATCAGCGTTAAATCAGCGGTTTTCAGAGTGGAGTCTGGTGTGTGAGAACCAGCTTTATTTACAGTGGTATATAAATATATATAAAGATATCTCTCTCTCCCTCTCTCTCTCTCTCTCTCTCTCTCTCTCCTCCTGCCTCCCTCTCTCTCCTCCTGCCTCCCTCTCTCTCTCTCTCTCTCTCTCTCTCTCTCTCTCTCTCTCTCTCTCCTCCTGCCTCTCTTCTCTCTCTCTCTCCTCCTGCCTCCTCCTCCCTCTCTCTCTCTCTCTCTCCCCCTCTCTCTCCTCCTGCCTCCCTCTCTCTCTCTCTCTCTCTCTCTCCCTCTCCTCCTCCTGCCTCCCTCTCTCTCTCTCTCCCTCTCCTCCTCCTGCCTCCCTCTCTCTCTCTCCCTCCCTCCCTCTTTCCCTCTCTCCTCCCTCCCTCTCCCTCTCTCCTCCCTCACCGTCTTCCTCTCCCCCCTCTCTCCTCCCTCACCGTCTTCCTCTCCCCCTCTCTCCTCCCCTCACCGTCTTCCTCTCTCTCCTCCCTGCCTCCCTCCCTCTCTCCTCTCCTCCCCCTCTCCTCCTCCCTCCGTCCCTCTCTCCTCCCTCCCTCTCTCCTCCCTCCCTCCTCCTCCCTCCTCCCTCTCCCCCCCTCTCTCCTCCCCTCCCGTCCCTCTCTCCTCCCTCCCTCTCTCCTCTCTCCTCCCTCCCTCCTCCTCCTCCTCCCTCCCTCTCTCTCCCTCCCTCCTCCTCCCCCTCTCTCCTCCCTCCGTCCCTCTCTCCTCCCTCCCTCTCTCCTCTCTCCTCCCTCTCTCCCCCCTCTCTCCTCCCTCCCTCCTCTCTCCCTCCCTCTCTCCCCCCTCTCTCCTCCCCCTCCCTCCTCCTCTCCTCCCTCCTCCCCCTCCCTCTCCTCCCTCCGTCCCTCTCTCCTCCCTCCCTCCCTCTCTCCTCTCTCCTCCCTCTCTCTCCCCCCCTCTCTCCTCCCTCCCTCCTCTCTCCTCCCTCTCTCCCCCCCTCTCCCTCCCTCCCCCCTCCCTCTCTCCTCCCTCTCTCCCCCTTCTCTCCCTCCCTCCCTCCTCTCTCCTCCCTCTCCCCCTCTCTCCTCCCTCCCTCTCTCCCTCCTCCCTCTCTCCCCCTCTCTCCTCCCTCCCTCTCTCTCCTCCCTCCTCCCCCCCTCTCTCCTCCCTCCCTCCCTCTCTCTCTCCTCCCCTCCCCCCCTCTCTCCTCCCTCCCTCTCTCTCCTCCCTCCCTCCAGCCGCGGTCGAAGAAGCGGCGCCCTACGTTCCGGCGCCTGTTGAAGACGAGTGGAGTGAAGTTGGAGAACAAGCTGAAGAACCGTCAGCAGAAGAAGGAGAACGTGGCCAAGAAGCAGCGTAAAGAGCAGAAGAAGCTGCGTCAGGCGGTGAAGGACGCCGCCATCAGGACGCCCCGCCCACTGGAGACGTACAGGAAGAGACCCGGTGAGAGAGGTTGCTGATTGGCTGAGAGGTTGAAGCAGCAGGGGGTGGGGCTTACAAGCAGCATTAATACATCCTCCCATAATGCACTGCTGTCTCTGACAGAGGAAGAGGAGGATGAGGAGTTTCTGGAGAGTCTGCCGACGGACATGATGGAGGACGAAGATCTGCAGAGGATGACCACGATGGCCCGACAGGCCTCCTTCATCACCAGAGACCTGTCGTCATGGTAACGCCAACACAAACACACAGAGAAAAACAGGAAGATGCTCCTATGAAAACACACACAATCACACACACACAAACACACACACACAATCACACACACAGACAGACACACACAATCACACACACACAAACACACACACACAATCACACACACAGACAGACACACACAATCACACACACACACACAATCACACACACAGACAGACACACACAATCACACACACACACAATCACACACACACACACACACACACAATCACACACACACACACACACACAATCACACACAGACACACACACACACACACACACACAATCACACACACAGACAGACACACACAATCACACACAGACACACACACACAATCACACACAAACACACAATCACACACTCACAATCACACACACAATCACACACACACACAATCACACACACAATCACACACACAATCACTCACACACACAATCACACAATCACAATCACACACACAATCACACACAGACACACACACACAATCACACACAGACACACACACACACACACACACACAATCACACACACAGACAGACACACACAATCACACACAGACACACACACACACAATCACACACAATCACACACACACAATCACACACACACAATCACACACACACACACACACAATCACACACAGACACACACACACACAGACACACACACAATCACACACAGACACACACAATCACACACAGACACACACACAATCACACACACACACAATCACACAATCACAATCACACACACAATCACACACAGACACACACACACAATCACACACACACAATCACACACTCACAATCACACACACAATCACACACACACACAATCACACTCACAATCACACACACAATCACTCACACACACAATCACACAATCACAATCACACACACAATCACACACAGACACACACACACAATCACACACACACAAACACACACACACAAACACACACACACAATCACACACACACAATCACACACACACAGACACACACACACACACAATCACACACACACAATCACACACACACACACACACAATCACTCACACACACAATCACACACAGACACACACACACAATCACACACAATCACACACACACAATCACACACACACAATCACACACACACACACACACACAATCACACACAGACACACACACACAATCACACACACACAATCACACACACACAATCACACACACACACACACAATCACACACACACACACACACACAATCACATACACACACACACAATCACACACACACAATCACACACACACAATCACACAATCACACACAGACACACACACACAATCCACACACACACACACACACAATCACACACACACACAATCACACACACACACACAATCACACACACACACACACAATCACACACACACAATCACACACACACACACACACAATCACACACACACACACAATCAGTGACTGGGGTGTGTTTGTTTCGGGCGGCGGCGCGTTCCAGCGGGCCGGTGCACAGCGGGAAGAGGCGGAGTTCCGAGGTGGTTCGCAGCTACGAGAAGGTTCCCAGGAAGATGGCGAGAACAGAGGAGAAGGAAGTCATCCACCTGCTGCCAATCAAAGACAAGACAGGAGTCATCCCACAGAGCGTGGAGAGAGGTATTGATCACTGATTGATCACTGATTGACCACTGATTGATCACTGATTGACCACTGATTGATCACTGATTGACCTGATCGATAAACGTCTGTTGTGTTTAATTGTAGTCGTCCCAAAGCAGCCGGAGGAAGAGGACGAGGAAGAGGAAGCAGCTGACGAGCCGGAGGAGTCTGAAAACGGTATGAACGACCTTTAAACCTGATCAATACACACGTTCTTATTGAACTACAGTCATGGGGAAAATGATTAGACCACCGTTGTTTCTTCAGTTTCTTGTTCATTTTAATGCCTGGTACAAATAAAGGTACATTTGTTTGGACAAATATAATGATAACAACAAAAATATCTCATAAGAGTTTTATTTAAGAGCTGATATCTAAAGTTCTTACATCAATAGCTATGGCATTGTACTGCCAACAACAGGGCTTTTAGGCAGTCCATGTTTTCTTCTCTGTCTGTTTTAGTCACATGATACACACAGGAGTTAGTACTTGATTGCATAACCATTGTTTTTGATGACTGCAGCCATGCGTCTTGGCATGCTCTCCACCAGCTTCTGACATTGTTCTGCTGTCTCAGCAGCCCGTTCCTGTTGCAAAAATTCAAACAAATTTGTTTTTGGGCTTGTGGTTCTCCATATTGAGTTTGATGATGTTCCACAGCTTTTCAATTGGATTAAGATCTGGTGATTGAGCAGGCCAAGGCATGGTTTGAAGGTTCTGGTTCTCCATCCAGGCTTTAACTGACCTTGCCATGTGGCAAGGGGCATTGTCTTGCTGGAAAATCCAGTCATTCGATGCAGGAAAGAGTTTATCAGCTGATGGAAGAAGACTGTTTTCAAGAGTAGCCCTGTACGTGACCTGGTTCATTTGCCCTTCACACAATTGCATTTGCCCTGTTCCACCCATACTGAAACAACCCCAGATCATCACCGATCCACCCCCATGTTTTACTGTAGGGGCAAGACAGTCTGGTTTGTAGACTTCTTCAGGCTTCCTCCTAACCAGTAAGTTGACTGGAGTGGGCATCAACTCAGAATTGGATTCATGACTGAAGAGAACCTCAGCCCGATCATCAACAGTCCAATCCTTGTGGTCCCTAGCAAAGAGTAACCGGGCGTTTCGTTGATGAAGGGCTTCTTCCGTGCCCTGTGTGACTTCAGACCAGCTTCAAGAAGTCGGTTTCGAACTGTCCTTGCTGTCACATTTCTCGACAGTGCCCACTCATTTTTAAGGTCCCTGGAGGTCTGACGACGATTCCTGACACAGGAACGGATGAGTGCGCGGTCATCTCGTGGGGTAGAAAGACGTTTCCTGCCTCGACAAGCTACCATGTTCGGTTTGCTTTTTCTTTGTGTAGTGAACGGCTGTCTTGGAGATCTTCAGTTTTTTTTGCTACCTGTCTCTCACTCATGCCAATTTCCAGCAGTGCCAAGATGGTTGCCTTTGTGGCTTCACATAATTCTTTTTTTTAGGCATTATGTGAGAGCTGATAACTTCTGAGTTGTGCTACGGCTTGAATGTAAGCAGGAAACCACTCTAGGCCTTTGCATGTGCAGTGCTGCTTATGACATGAAATGGCCTCTTATATACCCTGCGAATACAATTAAGCTTAAGCATCTGAAACAGGACATAAAGTTTTATGGAATCAGCTGCACGTGTTCATTTCACTCTTCAGGTAATCTACCTTTAGTGGTAGCAGGCATTCAAATGAACAAGAAATTGAAGAAAACATGGGTGGTCTAATAATTTTTTCCATGACTGTATATTTATTGATAAGGATGTGCTCATTGATCAACCATATATATATATATATATATATATATATATATATATATATATAGATATATATATATATATATATATATAGATATATATATATATATAGATATAGATAAGGTAACTGTAGTGTGTCCTCCTGAGCAGAGGGGGAGCCAGAGAGCTCCACAGCGCTGACAGCAGAGCAGAGAGAACAGCTCAGAGTTCACAAGATAAACGAGAAGAAACTGCTCATCGCCGGCCTGGGATCAGCCGTCATATCAGACCCCTACAGTAATGTAAGGCCACACTGCTGATTGATTATGGGATCTATAATTATTGATTTGATCAGTTTAACGTACTGTGCGTGCGTGTGCGTGTGTGAGCAGATAAAGCGAGTGAAGGAGCTGCGAGGGATGCTGATGGAGTCCGACCCCTGTGTGGCGGTGACGGTCAGGAAGCTGGTGATGGTTTCTCTGATGGAGATCTTTAAAGACATCACCCCCACCTACAGGATACGACCTCTGACCCCCGAGGAGAAAGCCGCCAAGGTAAAGCAGACGTCACCTGGTGGATTTAATACGTTTGTTAATCAACATTTTCCTGTTTCCATGTTTTATTAATGCCAGGCTGTAGTTGCTCAGGTAGCTCAGTGTGTGTATATATTTTATATATATATATATATATATTATATATAAATATTATATATAATGTATATTATATATAATATTTATATATAATAACAATGTGCAATAATTACTGTGCACTACCATTCCATATTCACTGTGCAATCTATTGCCCATGTGCACCTGCTGCTGCTGCTATTTGTGTTATCTGTTGTTTGTGGATTCTTAGTTTTTTTTCTCTTGTACATAGTGTTTTTATTTATTATTTATTATTTTCCTACTCTTACTGTTTTTTCTTTATCCACTTTGCTACTGTAACACTGGAATTTCCTCATTGTGGGACAAATAAAGGAATATCTTATCTTAAAAACAGCAGCAACGGTGTTCAAAGCTTCAGAAATATGAAATACTTTAAAGTCCTGAATCTGACGTCTTTCCTGTGGATGATTGGATGATTGGATGAATGGCTGAATGGATGATTGGATGAATGGATGGTTCCAGGTAAAGAAAGACACTCAGCAGCTCAGAGAGTTTGAAGAGGGTTTGGTCTCTCAGTACAAGTTCTACCTGGAGGACCTGGAGCAGACCATCAAAGGTACACAACCACACACACACACACACACACTGACACACACACTCTGATACACACACACACACACACACACACACACACTGACACACACACACACACACTGACACACACACACACACACTCTGACACACACACATACACACTCTGACACACACACACACACACTGACACACACACACACACACTCTGACACACACACATACACACTCTGACACACACACACACACACTCTGACACACACACACACACTCTGACACACACACTCTGACACACACACACACACTCTGACACACACACACACACTCTGACACACACACACTCTGACACACACACACACACACTGATGTGTTCACCCTCTGTCTGCAGACTGGAAGCAGAAGAAGAAGAAGCGCAGTCAGGCAGTGGGTTTCCAGTCGTACCTCGGCCTGGCAGAAGTTGCCATTCGTTGTCTGTGTGAGTTGCTGCTCGCTCTGCCTCACTTCAACTTCCACAACAACATCGTCGTCGTCCTCGTCCCGCTGATGAATGACCCCGTCAAAAAGGTGAGTTTGTTAAGTTGCTCTGTGTGTTGTTGTTGGAGTTGCTCTGTTGCTGAAGTTGCTCTGTGTGTGTTGCAGGTGTCAGGTATGTGTTGCGATGCGTTCAGGAAGCTCTTCCAACAGGACAAAATGGGCGGGGCTTCGTTGGCGACTGTGCGGGTTATCTCAGGCCTCGTGAAGAGCCTGAACTACACTGTCAAACCTGAGGTAACGAATCAAACGCACCCAACCAATGATGTCAAACTGATATAATGACCTTTGACCCCCCCCAACCACAGACTGGTGTAATGACCTTTGACCTCCCCAGGTGCTGAGGACTCTGCTGAGTCTGAGGATAAAGGAGGTTGAGATGAAGAAGGACATAGAGGACACGGCACCAAAGAAGAGGTTCATGAACAACAAAGAGAAGAAGAAGAACCTGTCGAGGATGCAGAGGAAGGTAAACAGTTAATGCTGGTTCTGATCAATATATCAGTCTGTATACACTGTCATCAATATATCAGTGATCAATATATCAGTGTATATACTGTTAGTGATCAATATATCAGTGATCAATATATCAGTGTATATAATGTTACTGTGTGTGTGCAGTGGAAGAAGGCTGAGGAGAAGTTGGAGAAAGAGCTGCTGGAGGCTGAAGCCTCAGAAAGCAAAGAGAAGAAGATCAAACTGGTGAGTTGAAAGCACAGACACAATTTACAGTAAGATCAGTCAACAAGAAACTAAACTCCTCCTCTTCCTCCTCCTCCTGCTCCTCCTCTTCCTCCTCCTGCTCCTCCTCTTCCTCTTCCTCAGCACACAGAGACCCTGAACATTGTCTTCCTCATCTACTTCAGGATCTTGAAGAAAGCTCAGAAATCTGTTCTACTTCCTGCAGTACTGGAGGGGCTGGCCAAGTACGACACACTGTAGTTTTATTGTAGTACTGTAGTTGTATTGTAGTAGTACTGTAGTTGTGTAGTAGTACTGTAGTTGTACTGTAGTTATATTGTAGTAGTACTGTAGTTGTACTGTAGTTGTATTGTAGTACTGTAGTTGTATTGTAGTATTGTAGTTCTATTGTAGTACTGTAGTTGTATTGTAGTACTGTAGTTGTATTGTAGTACTGTACTGTAGTAGTACTGTAGTTGTACTGTAGTAGTACTGTAGTTGTATTGTAGTAGTACTGTAGTTGTATTGTAGTTGTATTGTAGTACTGTAGTTGTACTGTAGTTGTATTGTAGTAGTACTGTAGTTGTATTGTAGTTGTATTGTAGTACTGTAGTTTTATTGTAGTACTGTAGTTGTATTGTAGTAGTACTGTAGTTGTATTGTAGTACTGTAGTTGTACT